GTGCTTTGGAACTCCCAGTTTGGATGCTGGAAGTGGAAAGAATCAGATGCTGAAACTGCTGTGTGTTTACAGAAATGGGTTTCAGCACTTGTACATGTTGCTGGGCTGCCTGAGGAGAATAATGCTGTGTACAAGTGCACAGGTCCTGCTTGTGTCAGTGTTGGGAAACCTTTAAGATCCTGGCTGAGTTTCATTGTCAAATACCTGACTTTCTGAAATGATCAGCTGTGGTTCTTTGCAGGCTGAAGTTTGCTCTGAATCCCCTTTTCTTTCTCCTGGTATCAGTCCCTTATGCTGCTGTTCAGAAAGAAATTCTGCAGCAGTTTGAAAACTGTTTTTACAGCTGTTTTCAGTGTAGCTCATATACTCTTTCCTCATTGTTTGCTAAAAAGCAGGCAGTGTGTAAATGTTTCTAGCCCATGTGATCTCCTGCTGCTTTCAGGACAGTGCTGGTGGGAAGAGAAAGTTTTAGCTCCTTCCCCTGCAAATCACATCTTTTTTTCCTTCCCCAAGAAAAACAAGCAGCTCTATGTGTGTGGCAGTGGCCACGTGAGTGTTGTGGATTTTCTGTTCTGCAGATTTGCTGTTCAGCTTTGCTTTCCCAGAGTGCTGCTGAACAGCAAGCTGCACAGAGTGCAAGCTTGCATTAACCCTTCCAGGTGTGCTGTATTTGCTGTCACACAGCTTGTGTGATGTGGGTTGTGTGATGGAGGCCATTAGTTGCTCTTGGCACTCACTGAAAAGGAAGCAGTAGTTACTCAAACTGAGGCACATTCTGCCCACATGTGTTGTTCCATTTACCCCTGGGACTGCACTTCCCCCAGATCCAGGGTGGATGTGCAAACCACTGTTCGAAACCCCCTTGGTTGTCCACCATGGACAACTCTCATTTTCTCTGCCCAGTGTGTGAGGTTGGCTTGTGGGAGACCCACAGTGATAGTGTGCTTTGCTTCTCTTAGGCTGAATTTGTGCTTTAATCACACAGTAAGCTGAGTGCTAGTGTATATTTCTGAGCAAGGAAAGAGTGTCTGGGACTTCAGGGTGTAAGCCAGCCTTGTGTTTCAGCACCAAGCCTTGCAATAAAGAACCTAAATGACTATAAGCATTCTTTTTTGTATTTTGCTGAGATTAGCACTTTGCTTAACTCGCTGCTTGTTTCCATAGTGACTCCATAGTAACTGTTTTAGAGGCCCTGAAGTTTATTCAGGCGTTTCCAGGCTGACTTTATGAAAGTTTTCTTTTCTTCTGAGCTAATGGTGTGGCTGTCATTGACTCCCATTAGAATGGCTGCCAGATTGGTCCCATGTGGTACAATCTGGACTGCTGTGGTGCAGTTACCCCAACTATCCATTTTTAACCTGCCTTGTAGGGCTGTGCTGAAGCTTCATTTTTAAGCAACAACAACACTGTTCTCTTGATCTGGGAATCACGTCTGCAAAACTAGTTCAGGTGTTCAGATTTCCAGATTAATTTCAGGCATCAAAATTAGAGATGTTTGGAAGTTTATTCATTAATTGTTTATTGCTGTCCTTCAAATGTAAGATGTTGATTGTAACAGCACTGTTTGGTAAAATCCTTCTGTCTTTTAAGCCTAGTATGCTCTGTCTGTGCTGTTTCCATCTCTATTTTGGTTTTTCCTCAGTCCCCTCAGGTGTTCTGCCTTACTTTATGTCCTGATGTTGCACTAGGAGTGGCATATGCAGGAAGAATGAGTATGGGGACCCCTTTCTCTCCTGAACTTTGATGAATTTATGGGAATATAATGGGGGATGAACCTGCTGCTACTGCAGGGAAGGGGAAATGTGTTCTAGGGGTTGGTTTTGGAATCATTGATGCCTTGTGTAAGCCGACCTAGAACAGAGGCTGGACAATATTAAAAAGTGAAGTAGGGATTTATTAAAACGCCTCAATGGATCCACCTTGGGCAGCACAAGAGCCCAGCCAGGGCTGCACCCAAGATGAACCAGAATGGTCACAAAATTAACAGCTGGTCATGGGGTCTCTCACTTTTATAAATTCATTCCATTTGCATATTGGAGTTCATTGTCCAGTTCCAGCTTTAGCCCATGCAGTCCCATCCTGCTTGTTTTTCTCTCTCCAGCCCACGTTGTTTGTGCTCCTGGGCTGAGATTTGGATCATTTGTCCTTGGTCCCCAGCTGGAGCAGGAATTGTTTTGTCTCCCTGCTCTGTGAAGAGAGCTCACCATCCCCTATTATGAAGCTCAGGAGTACACACGAAAGCACAACAGAATCTGAGAAATATAAAAGCCAAAACCTGAGGCATCATCATAAACTGTAACAAAGAAGGATTTCCCCTGCTGACTCGCTAGTAGCTGTGTCCACTGTCTCCTTGTTAACCTGGATACCAAATTTAGCAGCCAGCATTGCTACTGCCTTTGATACCTCACAAAGATAGGTGAGTTCATCTCACAATAAAATGCTTATTGGTATGGTGCCTCTTTCTGGAGGTAACAAGGGCACGTTTAGCTGATGGACTCAAGACTTTTTTATGAGTTTCCCCATTGTAGCTATGAGCTCCTTTTCTCTGCAGGCCTTTGACTGCAAGGCTGTGGGAGGCAGATGAGCACCAGACCCTTCAGGATTCTCCATTGTGCCATGAGATGGGATTTGGAGGCACAACTGCAGGAGAAGAAAGTACAGAGTGAGGCATTACAGTTTTAAAGTCTTGTTGGCCCTTGCAAAGCAGAGAGGGAAGGTTTGTGAGTAACTTTTATTGGTGCAGGTCTAACAAAAGGGAAAAACAGCATCCCCACAAGCTTCCAAGCTGCATGCAGTTGGAGCTGATGTGTTCCCATGGGCCTGGGCTGGTTCCCCTGTGCTGGCTGGGATGTGTACAAAATGGCTGTGACACTTTTGGGTGTTGGGCCCTTGGTACATTGAGTGCTGTCTGGGTGGAAATGAGATCATGTCTTGTGTTCTCTTGCACAGCAGCCTGCTGGAAGCTGGGATGCACCAAGGGTGAGTGAACAGCTTCCACAGAGATTCTGACAGGTCAGGTATTTCACAGAGCCTGCTGCCAGTTCAGGAACACTGAGATCTCTGAGACCCTTTTCCAGTCGTGTCTGTCAGAGAAAGAAAGAAAAGAGAGAATGAAAATTAAATCTACTGTATTACAGACACAATGAGCTCTGGATCAAAGGGGATGGAGCTTGAAAGGTGATGTTTTCAATTTTGCTGGCCAGAGGGGTTGTGACTCGGGTGGCATGGGTAAACAATGAGGAGAGAGACAGTCCCTTTGGGAGTCAGTGTCTGACTTAACGAGCCAGCAGTTATTCAAAGATGAATAGAGGAGAAGTGAACCGTGCTTTCTGCCTGGTAGTGGGGCTTATTTTCTTCTTTCTTTTCTCTCTTTCCCTCAAAGATCAAAGGCCTAATTTTAGAACAAGCCCTATTTATGGACTGCTCAGCCACTCTGTCTGCTTTACTCTTGTTCTAGAATAATGGAAAATAAATAGAGCTGGCAGGATCTCCCAGTGTCCAGAGCTCATCCCTGATGCAAGGCAGGAGGAGAAAAAAAGAAAACGACCTTTCCTAGCAGAGGTTCTGTATGATTTGTCTCTGCAGAGGGAGTTCCCCTCCCTGAGCTCTTTCAATCTTTCCTCGTGATCAGAAGCTGAAAAATGTGCCCTGTGAGTGCTCCTGATGTTCAGCAGAGCAAACTCCTCCTGATCCCTGCCACAGCTGACAGGACTGGGCAGGGTCCTCTTTCCAGGGCTGCTGCTGAGTATGGAGCTGAGTGTTGGTGGATGTGCCTCTGGATTTTCCTCCTGTAGGTACAGCCCACCATGATCAGTTGTACTTTTTTTCTTTTTACAGTAGCATGAGGTGGTTGGGTCCACTCTAAGCTATGAAGTGATGTGGCCAGACTGACTGGCTGCCTCTGCCCTTCTCTGGATCTCTAGACAATTCCCACTACTCACTAATGCTTTGTGTTTCCTCACATTACTTGGTACTCCCCTCCCCCTTTCCTCTTCTCCCCCTGCTGTTTTTCTAATCTATCAAAATAATTTTTAATTGTTACCTTGTTCTGCAAAATTTAGGGTGACAATTGTCTGCAGTAGCTGTGCTCAGTTCAGCTGAACAGTAACTGGGGGGAAACACATTCTGTGTAGGTGTAGTTTGAGAGTGAGCCTCTAATTACCCCATGAGAATGCCTTTTTTTTTGTCTTCCTCTCCTTTGTGTCAGCATTTCACTGTGTCCCTGGGATGATGTTTCCATAGTCCATATCACTTGATACACTGACACAATCCTGGAACCACTGGTTTATTCAGAATGAATTTGAGAGTTGATGGTTAAAGGCTGTGTCAGAATGTGATGGTGTAAGGAAGCTGCTCTTGCATCCTTCCAGTGGGGCAGTGTGATACCCACACTGCTGCCTGCCAGCTAAATCTGTTCTCTCCCCAGGTTTTGCAGTACTGAGGAGCTTCAGTGGTCTGGAGCTTTGGGAGAAGGGAGAAGAACCAGCCCAAAACCTCCCTGCTGGGAATTGCACAAGAAGCATTCCAGCTGGGGGCAGGGGTCCGTGTGTCTCTGCTCTTTACACAGCTGAAGCTTAATTGGTACAAAGCTGCAGAGAAGGGTGCACTGTGCAGAGCTAGAGTGAAGTTAATCCATGCAGAAGAGCTGAGCAGAGGGAAGAAGTCTCCTAAATCCGTTCAGCTTCCCAGATTCCCTGCAGCCCCCGGCCGTGGTGGAGCCTGTCAGCCCCTGGGATGAAGCACCAAGCGGGGCAGGCTGCATAGCAACTGCTTTGAGAAGTGGTAACAATTCCCAAGTGGGGCAGCAACAAAATCGATTTTTCTCCCCTTGAGCTTGGCAGCTCTCCAGGTGCCTGCTCTGGCACAATGAAGTGTGTGGCTGGGGAGGGAGGGAGGGACTTCGGGGTGATGTGGGGGGGTGTGCTACAAAGAGGCAGAAGTTTAATCACTGACCCGATCACACTGGATGGATTTATTTCTGGACTCAATTTCCCAGGAACTCTGCTATTCCACATGGGGGGAAAATGCCTCTGCTGAAGTTTCTCTAGCTCCAGTTTCGTGAATAAAGATCTGTGGCTTTGGAGTTACTCACAGCAGCTCTGTCACTACTGACTCATCCATCTGCTTCAGGAAAATGTTTGCTGTCCACTTGCTAGCTTTCCATTTCACAAAGCTAAAAGAGGATCAAATAAAAAAGGTAAGTTGCAGCATTGGCTGGTTGCTATTTTACGAGCTGTATTACCCAGATACAGAGGGGTCTGCAGTGAGTAATGCAGACCATATAATGGCATTATCCACTAAAACCATTCAGCCAGATGGGGTAGGAGGTGTTTAGACCTTAAACCACCTGGTGAGTGTGAAAATAGGTCTGGTTAGTGGTTTTCCCTGCACAGTTGTAAGTGCTCTCCCAATAATGGAGCAAATTCTCTGCACTAAGGGAAAGTGCTTAAGCTTTATTTGGCATGGTGTGGAAGAGCCCAGAGGACAGAAGGGATGGCTCTGGCAGAGTTGCCTCGCAAATGTATCATGAGTGATGGGATTTCTCAAGCTGAGCAGGAATCAGGAGTCAGTCACGTAGCAGGGACAGGGAAAACCCCTGTGGTCTTTGGTCTGGGTCTCCTGAGATTCAGGAGAGATTTCCAACTGGTGTTGGAGTTCCTGTGCCTCCTCTCTGGTTATCCAAAACTGGCTAATCACTCTGATGTTTATAGGTGTGACCTTTAATTACAGTTGGAAAAGCTTGGGATGGCTCAGATCTGGAGCTATCAGTACTGGGAGTGAGCTGCCTAATGGTCGCTCTTCCCTAATCTACTTCCATGCCCTGCTGAAATGGGTTTTTGGGCTTATGTCCATCATGAGACCATGTGAGACCCATAAGCTTCATGGGTCACAGGTCCTCTGCTTTGTGGACATGTCCCCTGCAGGTGCTCTGTATTCCTGGGGTCTTCACTGAGTGCTGCCAGGCTCCATGCTCTGGTTTCCCAGCCAGGGGCTGCAAAGGTGGGAGGTGGGGCTGTCTGTGGATGTGGTGGGAGATCCAAGGTCCTGGTGCTTGGATCTGCCTCCATCACTGAGCTCATCAGCAAAGGGAGCAGCTCCAGGTTCTCCTGTCTGTGCCCAAGACATGGAGTGGCTCGTTCCAAGGAGGACTTGTTCCATTAATTCTGTTTTGGAGAGGGGCATTCTGAGAGAGGTACTGGTATCTCAACAACCAGATGTCCCTGACTCAGTCCTAGCCCTTTTATCCCTAGGATTTAATGTGATCAGAAAAAGGCCTCACTGCCCCTCCCCTCTGTGAGGAGCTCTCTCTTATCTAGACAGAACTATTTCTTCATCCTTTTTACTAAGAAAGAGAAACACCTTGTGGAGCAGTGCTTGGGTGTAGTGGGCTCTGCAGGGAAACATCCAGCTTGCAGTTGAGTGAGGACAGTGGAGATGAGGGAGCAGAGGAATTCTGGCAAACAGAATTTTGCTGCTCTGGCAAACAGAGCAGAGGAATTGTGGCAAAAAAAAAAAAAAATCAAGGCTGCATTAAAAAAAATCAAAAAGTCTTTCTGTAAGGTGCAAACTAGCCCTTCCTGAAGGCAAGAAACCACATGCTCCTCAGACTTCTCTTACAGGTAGCCTAGGGTAGGATTTACAGAATAGAGCTGATTACTCCTTTATTAGAAAGAAGGAATGTCTTCCCACCTTTCCCTCCCCAGGCTTATTTACTCTGTGGTGGCAAAGCCAAGAGCTTGCCTGCCATGAAAACAGAGCTGTTTCCATAAATGAGGCAAGGCCCTGCTCCTGTGCCATGGGAGGGGGTAACCAGTTTGGTTTAGCACAGCCTGGCCATTGCTGTGTTTACCAGTAAATGGTTATGAGAGCAGGGCCTTGCTCAGGCTGTAAATCAGGCTGGAGAGCCAGCAGGATTTCCTGGGCTCTGCCTTATCTGGTTCCTTGGAAAGGACTGTCTGCTCCTCTGGTTTGTAGGTAAACAGGGTGGGGAATGCAGTGTCTGGGCAGCAGGGAGCTGGTGTATGTTCTTTGCAAACAGACATGGTAATTTTTATTACTCTTGAGAGCTTTTCCCCCCACAGGGGTTTCTGTCACAAGGCTATTTGGGTCTGTGTCAGAATTCATGAGTGCTGCATGTCTCCAGTCACTGTATTTTCTCCAAAAAACCAGTACAGGTGCATAGGCTAAGATGATGCATCCTACACAGTGGTGGAGCTTCAAAAAACCCTTGGAGAAAATCAAGCACTTGCACAAACAAGGGCTACAAATACAAATCTGAATAACAGCCTTTTCAAGGCACAGCTGTATCCAAAGGCAGCTGCTGCTCTGGGACAATTGTATGTTGTAATTTAACACTTTTTCCTCTCTTTCTGTGTGTGTTAAGTGAGTGCTGGAGTGACTTTCAGGATCCTGGCTCTTTCTGGTGGGTCATTGCTGACCATCAGTTTAAAATGGGACTGTGAATAGGTAATTAGTTTGTACCTCATTAAAACAGGTAGTAAAATAGTCCAAACTGCAGCAGAGACCAACTTATCTACAACCTGCATTGCCCTCTGTTTAAACAATGCAGCCTTTTAAATCCAACCATGGTGGGACTTTGTGTCCTTCCAGACCTCCCTGTGTAAATGGCACTGATGAAATGCTCTGAACAGATGCAGCACCACAACAGCACAGCCCAAGGTGCAAGAGCTGAGTGTCTGTAGCAGCAAAGCACTGGCAGCTGTCCCACTTCTCTGGCCCCAAGTCCTGTGTGCTGGGGACCAGCAAACACCAATGACCCTTCAGTGGACACCCAGCTACTTGGAGCACACACTTATTATCCCTGCATTGTGTTCAAACAGCACCAAACTCTGGCTCCCCAGTGGAAAACCTTCTGGATTTTGACAAATTCTTTTTTTTCCCCTGTGTTAATCCTTTGTTGTACCCAGCTGTGTATTTTCTAGGCCACACTGCTTATAGCCCTGCAGGTATGTGTCAGTCCCAGCAGTGTGTGGTCCTTAAGGAAAAAAAAAACCTGATGAAGCTGTCCATAAACACTGATTAACTTCTCTGCCAGGTTCTTTTCTATTCTTTTCTATTCAACTGCCTTCTATTTTGATGTATTCTGTGAGTTACAGACCTTTAACAAAGGGTATTGATTGCACCCAAAAAATGTGTTTTAGATGTAATCCTAGAATCACAAGAGAATGGAGAGCAGAGCTGGAGTGGGAAAAAGGCTTTGAGTTCCAGCCTGGCATGCCAACAAAGTTAATTGTCTGTGGAGTGAAGCAGTAGCTGAATAGATGTTTTGGGGTTGTGGCTGACATGCTTGGCTACTGCTGGCATTTTCTGGAGCTGCCTCAGAGAGGTCAAACTCTCACCAGATTGACACACTTTGCAGTTCTAGCTCATTACATCTCTAGCAGGAGAGGATGGTGTGAAAACAGCTTGTCAGGGTCTCAGGCAAATCTCATGACTTACATAGATTGTCAAGTTACTGAGCCATCAGAGAAGATGGGCAGCTTTTGGGCAGTGATTCACCAAGGCTGCACTAAACATTTCCAAAGCAAAGTTTTTTGAGAAGAGTGAATGTCCTGATGATGACCTGGAGCTTGCTTGCACTGACAGTCGTGAGAACTTTGTCGCTGAGGTCGAAAATGTGTGGTGGTGTTTGAGGGTCCCCAGGACGAGGGAAGAGATGAGAATCTTGACTCCATGTTTCAGAAGGCTGATTTATTATTTTATGATATTATATAAAAAGAAAATTATCTACTAAAACTGTACTAAAGAAAGAGAAAGGAGACATCAGAAGGTTAGACAAGAATGAATAATAAGAATCCCTGACAGACCAGAGTGTCCGACACAGCTGGACTGGGATTGGTCATTAAGTAAAAACAATTCACATGGAACCAATCAAACATGCACCTGTTGGTGAGCAACCTCCAAACCACATTCCAAGCAATCAGATAATTATTCTTTACATTTCTTTTCTGAGGCTTCTCAGGAGAAAAATCCTGGCAAAAAGATTTTAATAAAATACATCAGTGACAGAAAATGAAGCGAACGAGCAGCGCAAGGAGCCTGCATGGCTGAGTGCCACCTTCCCTCTCTGCAGGTGGACAGGTTCCTGCACCAGCTGCGCCTCTCTGATGATGTCCTGCAGGATGTGAGAGCTCGTTTCCAGGCTGAGATGCTGAAGGGGCTGGCCAGGGACACCAACCCCACGGCAGCAGTGAAGATGCTGCCCTCGTTCGTGCGCTCGCTGCCCGATGGCTCAGGTGAGTCCCTGCTCAGCACTGCTGCTTCACAAGGGGAGCTGCTGCCAGCACCCCAGCACAGCACCCCAGACACACAGGGCAGCCAGAGACTCGGGGTTATTAACTGAGAAAGCACGTGTGGGTACTGATACTGAGCCTGGGGGAATGCTGGCATGTTGGGGAGGATGAAACAGGAAAGCCTTATAAATATGATTGTCTGGCAAAAGATTTTGAGAATATAGAAACTGTAAGTGAGATTGAAATGAAAGCAAGCTTTGAGATACCTTAGTTACTGAACAACTGGAAAACAACGATGTAGCCAAACTGAAAATAATCCCCTTTTGATGAAACAACACCCTCTGCTTGCAGACAGGTACAAGGGTCAGAGCAGACCCTACAGCTTGGCAGAAGGGGTCCAAAGAGGAGTTTTTAGGGTTTAAATGTAACCCAGTATGGTAATGTAGTGATTCTTATAGGCTGTATGTAAATGCTATAGGATTTGTATATTGTACTAGATTGGTTAGTGAGAATCAGAATATTCAACACAGAAGATTTATTATTGTAACGGGAACTTTGCTCTCTTACCCCTTTTATGCTCTTGCCCTTTTACTCTCTTACCCCTTTTACTCTCTCACCCTCTCATCCTCTCTGCCCCTCTCTTCTCTCAGTCCTGCTCTGAGCTGTGCCTGGCAGCTCCCAGCAGGGCCCTGCCCCCAGGCCCTTTGCAATAAACCCCAAATTCCTGACCTGGCTGCAGAGATCTCTCGTCTCCGTCCATCCTGACCGTCCTACCCCATAGCTCCTACACTGGCAGAGTGGTTTTTTCCTTGCACCTGGTGGATTTTGACCGAGAGCTGCTTGTTTGAGGAGAGGACCCGGGAAGCGCTCAGGAGCAGCTTCTCCCGTCTGTTGTAGTGCGGGCCGTGGTGCAGGAGCTGTGGCTGGACATGGCAAGGGCAGCCTCTGCAGCCCAGAGCCTGCAGTGCACTCTGCTGGGGCTCTGCCATGTGCGGCCTGGCCTTGGAGCTGCGGGGAGGGCAGGATGCTGCAGAGAAACCCCTCAACCTGCCAAGGAACAGCAGCCTGGCATCCTCAGAGCTGGGATCCACAAAGTCTGCACTGCTTCTGCTAATTCCCCAAAAAGTGATCCCTTCCTTGCCTTCTCCATTGGGAAAATCTGCTCCTGGATGGGGTCTACCAGGAGCTGCTCTGCTTCTTCAGCTGAGACTTGAACAGAGAAAGTGCAGTGGTGTCCTCTGGGAGGATATGACATGAGATAGGAACTCCAAGCTCATCTTGTTTGGAGAAGCGTGCACATCCAGAATAAAACTCCTCAGCTGGCTCCTGGCATTGCAGCCTGAGAGAAAATGACATTTCCCCCAGGTTTAACCAAGTTTATTTTTTCAGGACTGTGTGTCTCACTGCCAAGGGACAGCAGCCTGGCATCCTCAGAGCTGGGATCCACAAATTCTGCGCTGCTTCTGCTAATTCCCCAAAAAATGATCCCTTCTGCCCTTCCTTCCTTGCCTTCTCCACTGGGAAAATCTGCTCCGGGTTTGGGTCTACCAGGAAACTGCTCTGCTTCTTCAGCTGAGACTTGAACAGAGAAAGTGCAGTTGTGTCCTTTGGGAGGATGTGACATGAGATAGAAACTCCAAGCTCATCTTGTTTGGAGAAACATGCACATCCAGAATAAAACTCCTCAGCTGGCTCCTGGCAGTGCAGCCTGACAGAAAATGGCATTTTCCCCACGTTTAACCAAGTTAATTTGTTCAGGATTCTGTGTCTCACCAAGATCAGGGCTTGGTGTAAACTAGCTGTGCAGAAAATGGAAATGTTAGCTTTGTACCTTTCCACATGACTTTGTTCCCTCTGATGGTAATTTCCCTGCAATTAAATGAGGAATAACAGCTTTCATGGCATAAAAAAGGTATTTGAAGGCAAGTTCCTTGAAATGAGGCATGTCTGAGAGAAATTATAGACAAGCTGACTGGATGGAAGGGGGCACTCTTCCTTTGCTGCTAGCTTTGTCAAAGAGAAACAAGTACTTTTTTAACCCTTGCAGTCTCAGTGTCAGTCACTGCTCCTGAGGTCTCACAGGTCTCAGAAGATGTTCTGGAACAGCAGGGAGCCCCTGAGCCCAGGAGACCTGGAAAATTGCATGTGGTGTCATCAGCAAGAGCTGATGTCCCCCAAGGCCAAGGTTGGATGGTGCTCTCCTGGCCTGTGTGGCCTTTCCTGTGTGCCAAGGACATGCTGCAGCATCAAGCTGGGCTATATCCTACTGGCACACTGCCCACTCCAAGTATCACAGTGATTTTTCTATTTTTGCCCTCTGGAAAAATCCTTGTTGGTTATTTTGCTGCCAGACTGGTTAAAACTTCCAGCAGGTTTAAACAGCTCAAACTTGGATGGTTATTCCCCCATTTATTATTATTATTATTATTATTATTATTATTATTATTATTATTATTATTATTATTAATTATTATTATTATTGACTTCTCCTTCTTCTCCTTCTTCTCCTTCTTCTCCTTCTTCTCCTTCTTCTTCTCCTTCTCCTCCTCCTTCTTCTTTTATTACTATTATTATTATTATCTTAGAGGGTTTTTTTGCTGCCCTCAGTGTTGCTGACTGAAATGACTCATATAGAGCATCTTTCATAGTTTAGGGATTAACAGTCTGACTAATGTCACAGTTTACTGAGTAACCCAATCTGCCTCCTCACCTTTGATAGCAGACCATGGTATTACAGGTAGAATTTCCTGCTTCCTTCCCTTTCAGGACCAGATTTAATCATGTTTGGACTGTGGAACAAAGATCATGCAGGGCTAGGCACGTACCCCACTGTATTTTCCTTTTGGGAAGGGCATTTTCCTGTGTGAGGGATAAACAAATTTTATTGTAGCAGTGAGGCCACGCTGTCCTTCCATCTGAGGTTTGCTGCTGGAGATGTGTGTGTCTGAGCAAGCCTCTGAAACCAAATGGTACTTTCACAGAAACACCAAAAGAAAAGGAAAAGGACTGTGTTGGTTCACTTTGCTGGCAAATTGGCTTTTTCCCACTTGGAACCTGATTTCTGCACTAGAGCTGAGTCTTAACATATGTCTGCAAGCCCTGCATCCTCTACTGGATACAGGCAATGACCTCGCATTCTGCTTGTGCCACATTTCAGGTGATGGTTTTGCAGCCCCTTGGTTGGTTTGCAGCTGCTTAGGGCCTTTCCTGCTGCAAAGCTCATCCTTCTGCAGCCTGCAAGTGTGCTGCTGTGGAAGGAGCAGGGTGAACAACCCAAACTGCCAAATAAATTTGAATTAACTATTACATAGCAGGCTGAAAGGAGAGACCTGATAGCCTTGCTGAGGGTTTCCAGCTCTCAGTCCTTCTGATGCTCCCAGGCCCATCCAGGATCAGGATCTGCCATCATGGGGCAGCAGAGGCACCTTGTTGAGCCTTTGCTTTTTTTTTGTTAGGATCAGGATTAAATGTGTGAGATGGTATTTCTTGTTCAGATTCAGATGTCAGTTAGTTCTTATTTATATTGCAGTTTTATAAACTGTGAGTTCTCCAGCACTTCACTCTAATAAACTGAAAAATGGAGACCTATCTAAATGGAGACCTATGTCTCTCTTACAAGGCTTTTTAAGGATAAACTGTCTAATTAAAAAATGGCACTACAATTATTTTTACTTTTAACTTAAAAAATAACTATCTGTGGCCTGCAATGTGGAGTTTTTTATCTAATTACATAATACTACCTAAACTTGTAAAGAAGAAGGCCTAGCTTCTGTTTTAAAACTTCTATCTTGTTTTATGTATATTCTATCTTACTATATTCTAAAACTTCAAGCTCTGTTTTTGACTATGTGATATTGCATACTTCTATTAAAAAATGGAGACCTATCTCTCTCTTTACAAGGCTTTTTAAGGATAAACTGTTTAATTAAGAAATGACACTTCAATTATTTTTATTTTTAACTTAATAACTAACTTATGTGGCCCTCAATGTGGACTTTTTTTTCTAATTACATAATACTGCTTAAACTTGTGAAGAAGGACTAGCTTCTGTTTTAAAACTTCTATCTTGTTTTATGTATATTCTATCTTGTTTTATATATATTCTATCTTGTTTTATATATCTTACTATATTCTAAAACTTTAAACTCTAAGTTTTCTACTATGTGATATTACACATTTCTATTCAAACTACACACCAATGATTTCAGTCCTATCATTTAATTTTGGAAGTCTTCTCTATACAGCCATAGGTTAAATGTAGTGTTCTTTTGGGGTCAGTGCTTGTCAGCACACAAAGTCTCAAATTCTCAGCAGCCAGGGTTTGTGGCCATGCCCAGTGATGTGGTCCCCTGTGTTGCAGAGAAGGGGGAGTTCCTTGCTGTGGACCTGGGGGGCTCCCAGTTCCGTGCCCACCAGGTGAAGGTGTTTGATGATGGGAAGCAGAGCAGCCAGCTGGAGAGCAAGTTCTACCCCACACCCAAGGAGGTCACCCAGGGCAATGGAGCTGAGGTAGGCACTGATGCTGCTGCTGTTACTGTTATATTTTGGGAAAAATCCTCTTCACCAGGATTTCTTCTCCTGGGAAGATGAGAAGCCTCAGCTTCTCCATGTTTTGCTGCTCTGGAATGTGGTCTGGAGATTGTTTATCCAAACATGTGAATTATTTTAACTTAATAACCAATCACTGTCAGCTGTGTTGGACTCTGAGGAGTCAGTCACGAGCTTTCATTATCATTCTTATTAAACCTTCTGATATATCCTTTCTTTATCTTTAGGATAGTTTTAGTATAGCATTCTATGATATGATGTACTATGATGTGATATATAATATAATATAATATAATATAATATAATATAATATAATATAATATAATATAATATAATATAATATAATATAATATAATATAATATAATATATAATATATAATATAATATAATATAATATAATATAATATAATATAATATAATATAATATAATATAATATAATATCAGCCTTCTGAGATCATAGAGTCAGATTCTCATCTCTCACCTCGTCCTAGAAGCCCTCACAAACACCACACTGTGCTGCTGCTGCTGTGCCTGCCTGTGGGACACTGCCCAACTCTCCTCTCTTCTTGTGCAGCTCTTTGATTACATTGCTGACTGTCTGTCAGACTTCATGGAGACCAAAAACCTGAAGCAGAAGAAGTTGCCTCTTGGCTTTACGTTTTCTTTTCCATGCAAACAGACCAAGCTGGATGAGGTGAGATGCATAAGAAATGCTCTTGTCAAGCTGAGCTCCTTGCAGAGTCTGGAGCAGCTGTTGAGTGCAGGTGCTGCCCTGTGGCTTTTATCTGGGGTCATGTTTGCATAGCTCTCTGAAGAAGGCATGGATGACTTTTAGTATTTAACTCGACCTGACTATCCTTCAGTGATTCATTTCTCATCTCAAGGCATCACCATCTTTAAGCAAAAGCTATTCTATTGCTCAGTCAGTACCCAATTCCACAGGAACCATGTGCCCCTGTATTAACACTGTTAGAAACAGATGTGCACTTCTGTGTCTTGAAATATTTTATTGTTTTAATCACTCTCAGTTTTTGGTTTTTTTAAATTTTTTATTTTTTACAGTTGATTCTGAATAGGAAATACCTGTAGCTGAGCTGCTTGAGACACCTCTTGGGGAAACAAAGGGCTGGTTGCAATTATTTTGTGTTCTCTCATTCTAGCCTCTCTTATTTCTAGGGGTCTGTGCTTTGGGCTCCAGTCCTGCAAATGCTTTTTGCTTAATGCTATTAGACTGTGATCAGCATAGGAAAGCCACATGTGCTTTAAATGAAGCACAGGGAGACACATTTACAGAATTGGGACTTTATGACTGTACCTTTTTGGCTGTGCTGGTACTGACAGGCACCCCAAGGTAAGATGTAACTGGACTTACACGTTGGTACAGTAATAGGAGCCTCTTTGAGCCAGGTCTCATAAGCTCTTGGGGATCTATTTCACACCCAAGATAGCTCAGCTACCTTTGGAGGCATAAAATCAGCAGGATGGCTTCTGTTGCAGTGTTGGAAACAAAAAGGTTGAATAAAAGGCAAAATAACAAACAGAGAAAAACCGAGCCAGGTGTAAGAGGTTCTTGCTCCTGGTAAAACACCTCACAAAAGTGATTGGTTTCTTTGTTCTCTTCTTTTTTTAGTAAATTGCCCAGGTGGGATTTTTTGGCTCCTGTCCAATTGGCTCCTTAAGTTTGAGGTGAAGCCCCCCAGGTCCTATGAGGTGGCTTTTTACCTGATTGAGGAGAGAAACTTCTGGGCTTATTTCCTTTTTAAGGGGACAAAGGAGAGTTTTGTCACTCCTCAACAGGGGGGCACATTCCTATAGGTACTGATAGGCACCCCAAGGTAAGATGTTCTACTCTGACTGATTTTGGCTGAGTTTTAATAATGGATTTCTCCACACACTTCAGTCTTGACTGGCTTTGTGGTTTGTGTGCTAAACTTTGTGTGCTTTTGGGTCACTGCACTGTTTCTTTTCAGGGGGTTCTCCTTGAGTGGACAAAGCACTTCAGGGTCCGAGGAGTCCAGGGCACAGACGTGGTCAGCTCCCTGCACAGGGCCCTCCAGAAGCACCAGGCAAGTCTTGGACCTGCAGGAGCAGAGAATGTCCTCCTGGGAATCCATCTCTTGGTGTGTGGGTTCCTTTGGGAGCTGTCAGAATCCTTCAGGGATGGGCAGTAGCAAGTGCCCAGCATGCCTGCACATCTGGCAGATCTGTGTCTCTCTCACAGCTGTAATTCAGACTGCCCAGGTAACACAAGTGCAGCTGCACCCTGAGCCCAGGCTGTGACACCTCACCAGAATGGCCCCACTGTCTCAGCCCAAGGGAGCCTCTGGTGAAACTGCAGGGGGAGTGTCTTGGTTTGGAAAGACAGGAGTCTGCTAAGGAAGGCAGGAGCCTCCCCTGAAATGGAGAATGTGAACCCTCCCCACCCCTCCCAATTGCTATAAATTTTAAATTAAGGGGCTCTCAGGCAAAAATATGGGAACAGGAAATAACAGTTCTTTAATAGGGAAGGGAAAAAAAAAAGATACAATAAACAATGCAGTACACTAGAACAACACTGACAGAGTCAGAACCCAGCCTGACACCCTGTGGGTCAGGCTGTTGGCACAGTCCCATTGGAATTGTGGCTCAGCCCTCCTGCAGTGCCAGGGCTGGTTCTGCTGGAGCAGGGATCCTGGAGAAAGGTGCAGTCTCTTCCTCTGAAGATCCAGGGCAAGGGGCAGCTGCTGTTCCTCTGGGGAATCCCGTGGAGAAGCCGTGCTGGTGTCTTCAAACCTCTGGATTATATCTGGGTAGCAATGCTTGGCTCCTCCCTCTGGGCAGAGCATCTCCCAATGGGATGCTGTAGTTCTTATCAGCCATGCAGGGACATTCAATAGCTGTTATCAGCAATGTCCCCTCCCAGGGAGGTGTGAATGTGGTCACTCAAAGAGAGAGCTAAGGCAAACTGCCCACTTGACAATGATAATCTGCCATACAGATGGGAATGGAAAACATCTTGCATTGCAATCTGGAACAGTGAGGTATAAAACACTCAATAATTTCACACACTGTGTTTCACAGCCTGGCCCATGGGATGAGGGTTGGTAGGAGGAAACTGCCATCTCAGATTGGCACACCCAACCCCAGCAGGGCTTGCCTGTCCCCTTCAGTCTGCACGATGGAGCCATTGATGGCAATTTTTAAGGTCAGCAGTAAGACATGGTTAAATCTGCCCTTGAACTAGCATACAGCCTTTCAATAACACTGTTTTAATATTTTGGAAAGCCTTGCTTTTCATGTTTGGTAACACCAGCCAAGAAAAACAAAGCATCTTTCCATATCTTGATGAGTTCATAGCAAAGAGGAAACTGCACAGCCTCAGTGGAAGGACTTTTTGCTTGAGTGTGGTATTGCTGCACAGCTGTAGCTGCATTTCTGTGTGTTTCTGAACCACCTGGTGGGCTCTGCTCAGGTGGTAGAGGATGTTGTCCTTTCACACAGCCTGTAAGCACAGTATCACAACACTCACACCGATAATGTGTCACTTTTCTGGCAAGTGAGGTAGGTTGGGGAAAAACAAATCCTTCAAACAAAGAGGCTGGCAAAACACTTGAGAATTCAGAGATATTTGTAACCTTACAGGGCTGTGGGAATAGTGTTGTAAAAGGAAGTAGTGTCTTCCAACCAAGGAGTTTTCCTGAATGAGGCCTTCAAAGTGCAACCAGGGAATATATCTGCATGCTGGTGCTTTATCACAGAGGAGGCTTTCTGAGCTTTTCTCCCTGTTAATCACCCATCTTTATGCTCTTAGGACATAGATGTTGATGTTTTGGCACTGGTCAATGACACAGTGGGAACCATGATGACTTGTGGATATGATGACCAGCGCTGTGAAGTTGGACTCATAATTGGTAATTTTTTCTGTTCACCATGAAAGGTTTTTTTCCCTCTCATTGTTGAATTACTACAAATTTGAAGTAGGAAGGAATTTCACAATAGAGGAAAGAGCAGAAAGAAAATGGAAAAAACAATGGTTGGATTTTCAAGCCTGGCTGCCTTCTGTAAAGCAGCTGTTTTTATGCTGATCACATTGCCATCAAATACCACAGTCCCCATTTTGTCTGGGCTCAGTTGTGACCAGCATATTAAACTTTTCTGCTGACTGTATAGAAAATTACTGTGTCTGTCCAGAGAAAGCTGAATTCCCCTCACGTCTGGTAGTTAGTCCCAGCTATGCTTTCTACAGTTTCTCCATTTCATGCACTATGATGCCTTTTATTGGGCACACAGAAGTACATTTGAAAGAGAAAAAAATGTTTTTAAACAAGTCAAACCTTAGAATAATTTCAGGTTTTTTCCATTCACTGTGAAATGATGATTTCACGGGTGCAGGTGGCCTATATGAGCATCCTGTGCCACAGGGTTATGTGTTTGTGTTTTCTTCCAAAGGCAATATACTGACTTATTCCCAAACAAAAAGCACACATGGAACAAACAGTGGTTTGTCCAATACCCACAGGGACTGGCACCAATGCCTGCTACATGGAGGAGATGAGGCACATCAGCCTGGTGGAGGGGGATGAGGGCAGGATGTGCATTAACACCGAGTGGGGCGCCTTCGGGGACGACGGTGCTTTGGATGATCTCCGCACGGAGTTCGATCGGGAGCTGGATCTGGGATCTCTCAACCCTGGAAAACAGCTGTAAGTGATTCCCTGTCTGAGTTCCCAGAGTGCTTTTCCAGTGTTTACCCCCTTGGAACAGGAATTGTGTTAAGTGAACCTGAGACGACTTGGTTGGTGCTGGTTCTGTGTAATCCAGATCTTTCCTTTCTGGAGAGGGTGAGTCCCTTTCACAGCTCCCTGCTGCGGGCTGTTGTGGTGTGATTTCAGGGTTTACCTCAGAACCTCGGATCCCTCCCCTGAAGATTCCCTCCCAGGTGTGTCAGTCTCCTCTCCTTTCCCCACCCTGACCCCTCCCAGCACTGCCTGTCAGTCCTGGCATTCCAGAAGGGCATCGAGTGATTGGCAGATTCAAAGGATGCCCTCTACCCCTGGGGGGCATTGGGCCATCCAAGTGTCCCTTGTCCCTTGAGACCTCCCCTCCTGTACCTGGTTGGTGGCTCCCTACCCCTTCCCTGCCCTTCTCCCCAGGGTAAAAGAGCACCCAACCACATGGTTTGGGAGTTCTGTTGGTGCAGTTGCTGCATTCAGAGGCCTGTGGGCCAGAATAAAGCTCTGGATCCAAACCTTCCATCAGAACTGACTCCTTTCCTTCACCATCACCTTAAAGCTTCTCCACCAGAGGGAAACCTGAGGAGCAGCCCCTGTTATGGGGGAAAGCTCCATCCCAGCACCACGAGAGCTCCTGCAGGCCTGGACTTGTCTCCACGTGCCAACTGCAGCACCCAGCCAGCCAAAAGTGTTTCTGGGTGAAACACCACACACCCAGCAGCCAAAAGTGTCTGTGGGGTGAAACACCACACACCCAACCAGCCAAAAGTGTCTGTGGGGTGAAACACCACACACCCAACCAGCCAAAAGTGTCTGTGGGGTGAAACACCACACACCCAACCAGCCAAAAGTGTCTGTGGGGTGAAACACCACACACCCAGCAGCCAAAAGTGTCTGTGGGGTGAAACACCACACACCCAACCAGCCAAAAGTGTTTCTGGGTGAAACACCACACACCCAGCCAGCCAAAAGTGTCTGTGGGGTGAAACACCACACACCCAACCAGCCAAAAGTGTCTCTGGGGTGAAACACCACACACCCAGCCAGCCAAAAGTGTCTGTGGGGTGAAACACCACACACCCAACCAGCCAAAAGTGTCTCTGGGGTGAAACACCACAGTGCTGCTGTTTGGTTCAGTGCCAAGGGCCAGACAAGCCCAGGCACATCCCGTACACAATATTGGTAAATTCCAATATAACAGGCCAAGGGATTGCTGCTATAGCTGCCCATGTGTTGCTAAATCCAGGTGGTTGCTGTACTATGATGCTGTGGAGGGCTAGAGAGGAGCTGGTGAACACCTCCTGATTCCTTCCTGTGCTCCATTCCAGGTTTGAGAAGATGATCAGCAGCCTGTATTTGGGGGAACTTGTGAGACTCATTCTCCTTAAAATGACAAAGGAAGGTCTGCTCTTCAATGGAAAAGTGTCAACAGCTCTGCTTACTAAGGGCAAGATTGAAATGAAACACGTGTCTGCAATGGAAAAGTAAGAACTTGTAATACACTCTTTGAGAGTAGCCACTCTCAAAGTTAGTTTTTCACTAGCACAGCAGCAATAATGAAAGTGTAGTTAAAATCTGTGAGTGCTGGGAACAATTCTGAACAGTTCAGCTTGAGTTTGCTTTTGCCCAGGAGAAAAGTTGACCTTTCTGTAAGTGGGAATTGGTGTAAGATAGTTTTAGCAAAGTACCACAGTAGCACGTGTGTTGGTAAACATCACAGGTTGTTCAAATAACCTCTCTGGAGACCTGAGTGTGTGGGATGACTGCTGCAGTTTTCAGCCTCTCTGATGTGGGAATACTGGGGCTGTGGAGATGCAGTACAGATTATAAATCAGCTAATGGATGACTGCATGGAAAACTGGGAACCTGGTCCTCATTGTCACTCCAGGAATTATTTTCTTTGTTGTACTGAGTAAAGCTGTATATCTGTTCTTGTGCTCTCTTTCTTTGGACTGTTTTATCCCTTTCTCTTCTTGACTAATTGATTGGTGTCACCAAATGCTGAACCCCAGGAAGTTCAGCATTTGAACTCTCTCCCCTGGGTACTTCTGGGAATGCTGTGGGAAGCACATTGCTGGTTTATGGGAATCAATTGTGATGCTGTCTGATGGGTTGTGTCGTGGTGTCCTCTCATTTCTTTTTGAGCCAAGGTATTGATTTGTATGTTTTTGCATTTGGTGACGTATTCTTTTGTTTTGGGGATAGGTACAAGGAAGGCCTGAGCAACACAAGAGAGATCCTTACAGAGCTGAAGCTGTTTCCCTCTGAGGAGGACTGTGTTGCTGTTCAGCACGTCTGCACCATCGTCTCCTTCCGCTCGGCCAACCTGTGCGCCGCCGCCCTGGCAGCCATCCTGACCCGCCTCAGGGACAACAAAAAGCTGCTGAGGATGAGAACCACCGTGGGGATTGATGGGGGACTCTACAAAACACACCCCAAGTGAGTAACAAAGAGGATTTGATAATGGCTAAGAGCTTCCATCTGCACTTGTGTGTGGCTGTTCAGAGAAGTGCCAGTTTTGCTTCAGCTTTGGGGTGAGGTCTGAGTGGCTTTGGTATTGCAAAGATGTCCCAGGAGCTTTAGAATTTGGAGTGGGGTGGGAGCTGAGGGCGTTTAGCCTGAAGAAAAGGAGACACAGAGGTGAGCTTATCACTCTCTACAACTCCCTGAAAGGTGCCTGTGCTCAGGTGGGGTTGGTCTCTTTCTCCAGGCAGCACTGACAGAAACAGAGGACAGAGTCTGAAGCTACACCAAGGGAAATATAGGTTGGATATTAGGAAAAAATTTTTCATAGAAAGAGTGAAAAAGTTCTGGAATGGTCTGCCCAGGGATTTGGTAGAGTCACCATCCCTGGATGTGTTTAACAAAGCCTGGATGTGGCACTGGGTGCCAGGTTTAATTGAGGTGTTGGGGCTGGGTTGAACTCAATGATCTTCAAGGTCTCTTCCAACCTCATCATTCTGTGAATTCTGTGAAAGACATGACACCTGGAATAATGGTGTTGGAGGAAATGCAGCTGATTTCTCAACGGACTCCTGGGCCCCTAGGACACTTGCAGTTCACTATCGGTCTTTTTCTTTTTCCTTTTTCCTTTTTCCTTTTTCTTTTTCTTTCTTTTCTTTCTTTTTCTCCCTTTACTACTTCCACTGTTTTTCCACGTGTGCTTTCCCAAACCAGAAACCTCCTCCAACCACTCCCCCTAACTGGCTGGAGGCCTGATTGCAGCCAGAGATGAAGTAAACTGTCATGGTGTGATTTCATGGTTTACCTCAGAACCTCGGGTCCCTCCCCTGAAGATTCCCTCCCAGGTGTGTCAGTCAGCTCTCCTTTCCCCTCCCAGCACTGTCTGTCAGTCCTGGCATTGCAGAAGGCATCGAGTGATTGGCAGATTCAAAGGATGCCCTCTACCCCTGGGGGGGCATTGGGCCATCCAGGTGTCCCTTGTCCCTTGAGACCTCCCCTCCTGTACCTGGTTGGTGGCTCCCTACCCCTTCCCTGCCCCTCTCCCCGGGGTTCAAAGGAGCAGCAACGACATGGTTTGGGAGTTCTGTTGGAGCTGGTGCTGGATCCAGAGGCCTGTGGGCCAGAATAAAGCTCTGGATCCAAACCCTCCATCAGAACCGACTCCTTTCCTTCACCATCGCCTTAAAGCTTCTCCATCAGAGGGAAACCTGAGGAGCAGCTCCTGTTATGGGGGAAAGCTCCATCCCAGCAGCACCAGAGCTCCTGCAGGCCTGGACTTGTCTCCATGTGCTCAGCTGCAGCACCCAGCCAGCCAAAAGTGTCTGTGGGGTGAAACACCACACAGCCAGCAGCCAAAAGTGTCTGTGGGGTGAAACACCACACACCCAGCCAGCCAAAAGTGTCCCTGGGGTGAAACACTGTGACTGTGTTCGCAGGGGTCCCAGGATGAGGGAAGAGACGAGGATCTGACTCCATGTTTCAGAAGGATTGACTTATTATTTTATGATATATATTATATTAAAACTATACTAAAATAATAGAGGAAAGGATTTCATCAGAAGGCTGGCTAAGAATAGAAATGGAATGGAATGATAACAAAAGCTTGTGTGTCAGACAGAGAGTCTGAGCCAGCTGACTGTGATTGGCCATTAATTAGAAACAACCACATGAGACCAATCCCAGATGCACCTGTTGCATTCCACAGCAGCAGATAACCATTGGTTACATTTTGTTCCTGAGGCTTCTCAACTTCTCAAGAGAAAAAATCCTAAGGAAAAGATTTTTCAGCAAATATCATAGTTACAAAACACCACAGTGCTGCTATTTGGTTCAGCGGCAGGGTCAGACAAGCCAAGGCACATCCTGCACACAATATTGGTGACACCAATAGTAAACCATGCCCCAAAGGCCTGTGGGAGCCTCAAGGAGGAACTCTGTGTCCCTGCCAGGTACGCCAAGCGCCTGCACAAGGTGGTGAGGAGGCTGGTGCCCACGTGTGACGTGCGGTTCCTGCTGTCGCAGAGCGGCAGCGGCCGCGGGGCCGCCATGGTCACGGCGGTGGCACACAGGCTGGCAGCCCAGCGCCGGCGCCTCGATGCCGCCCTCGCCCCCTTCCTGCTGCCCCCCAGCATCCTGCAGGAGGTGAGGGACAGCATGAGGGCTGAGCTGGAGTATGGGCTGAAGAGGGAGACGCAAGCCCAGGCCACGGTGAAGATGCTGCCCACGTACGTGTGTGGGATGCCGGATGGAACAGGTGAGGTTGGCTCATGGGCACCTGTGTCGGGTCCGGCTGTCTGTCTGTCTGTCTGTCTCTGCCCTGGACATGGGTAGGGCGGTTCTTGGGTGGACGCGTTTCAAAGGACGAGTCTGGACTCTTCAGCTTTTCGATCTTCAGATTGTTTATTGTTTCTTATCTACAAAATTTTCTGTCTGCCCAACAGAGGTCTGATCTGCAAGGCAGCCAAGGGCACTCTTGACCACCCACGGGGCGGTCATGTCTTTTTATACTAAAATCTACGTACATGATATTTACCTTTATTTTCCAATACTTTTCACCCATGTTGGCAAGTGCACCTTCACCATGAACCAATCCCCAAGTGCCAACATCATCACAGGAGATGGAGGACAAGAAGAAGAAAGAAGAAGGATGAGACACGCCCTGATCCCTCCATCTTGTCTCCATAACCCCCCTGTACCAAAAACCTTAAAGTTTATATTTCACCCTATAAATGTGTCCCTTTTACACCCTTCACTCTAAACTGATTCTCATGTCCTCAAACTGCTGTCACTTCTGTGGATGGATCAAAATCAAGCCACCAAGCACTCTTGGCAACATTCCAGGATTTCCGAGACCCCCAAGGGTTCTCCTGGCATCTCTGGACATCGGGAGTGATGTGCTGAGTTCCCACACACCTGGAGGTGGGGCAGGAAAGCTGCTTCTCTGTTTTTGGTGGGAAGGAGTATGCTAATTAATTTGGCACAGGCCAGGGGGATTTATGTTGCCCAACTGGTGCTTCCTGCTGTGTTATCTGTTATCTTCAGCCCCATGCTGGTAGGCTTGATGGGATAAATGCCATAGGGAACAGAGTGCTGTCATTGGTATGTTGTTCTGACTGGCAAACGTGCTAGGAGAAGCACCAAAATGAAATAACTTTCTTCTTCTTCAGAGAAAGGAAAGTTCCTTGCCCTTGACCTTGGTGGCACAAATTTCAGGGTTCTGCTGGTCAAAATCAAAAGTGGGAGAAGAAGATCAGTGCAAATGTATAACAAAATCTTTGCCATTCCTTTGGAGATCATGCAAGGGACAGGAGAAGAGGTAATCTGAAATGAATGTTTAACTGATGCAGCCAAGGTCCATTGTATGGGGTTACTTGTGATATTTCTATGCCTCTTCTTTCCTTCCAGCTCTTTGACCATATTGTCCAGTGCATAGCAGAATTTCTGGAGTATATGGGGATAAAAGGTGCCCGGCTTCCTCTGGGTTTCACCTTCTCCTTCCCCTGCAGGCAAACCAGCATTGACAAGGTAAGAGCTGCAGCAGCTCTGCATCTGCTTGGTAAATGACATCGTTTTGGGCAAGGCTGACTTGTTGGTTTGGAGAATTTATTACTTTGCTTTGCAAATGAGTTGTGTTTCATGAGAAAATTACCATCCCGTGTTATCCACCTGCCTATGGGGGCAGAACTTTCACTTCTTGTCTCTGGTAAGTGCTGGACATGAGCTTGTTTTTGTTCTATAAAGATTAAACCCTCATGACAGCAAAATGAAGTGCATATTTTTAATAACCCAGGAACCTCCTTATGCTGCCTTAACTCTTCAGTGGCAAGAGATAACAAATGGCTCCTTCTGCTTGCTCAGCTACAATCCCAGGTTGTTTTCCAAGCTGTGCTGCACAGCTCTGACTGTGTAACTTCTGCACCACATTAGCTTTTTTTTGCTGAGTGGCGGTGGACAGACCTGAACTTACTTGCTCAATTTGGAGGAGTTGGCTTTTTGACAGGTATCTTTTATCTTATCTGAAAAGATTTATGGATTTCCAAGAGAGGCAGGGGATGTTGTGCTGCTTAGTTCTAGTCAAATATGTAAGATACTGGGGAAATGAGAGACTGCTATTTTATTGAATGTTTTATGTCCAGGTGGCGTTCACAATAGCTTCTAAACCTGGAAGTTAGTCTGCTCTGTCTCAATTTTCAGCTCACTGTTGAGAGTATAGCAATAGGACTTGGCCTTTTGTGGAAACATGAATTCATGTGCCTTCTGAACCCACAGCTTAGCATTTAGGTCTTGACAAATGATTAGGAAGCAAATTCCACAGTATTGATGGCAAACTGAGTGAGACACATCTGTGTCCCATGATATGTTGCTCTGTGTGTTTGGTCTTCTACTGTTCTAGAGCTTGAGGGTGTTTCTTAATAGCAGCTTTTTCTCCCAGTTGTCTTCTATGTTTTTTTGTCCTTTGGACAGACAGTCCAGAGCCACTTAGGAGATGTAAAGCTAATTACTTCATGTAACCTGGAAAACAACTTCTGTCAGGCCAGGTTGTTGTCTGAAAAGAAACAAATTAGTATTGCCTGGAGCTGTGGGATCATATCAAATGTCCTTCAGGAAACAACCCAAAAATTAACCACAGATTCATTGATGTTTGATGGGTGTTTGATGATTTACAGCAAAATTATTTTAAATGAGTTTTAGAAGGTACTGAGTGCAATGCCTTGACAAAAAGCTGAGTAAACTTGGAGCCACTACCACCAGCAGTGGAGTAACAAAGATACACGAGCACAGCCTGCACTAGACACCCACAGTAACCTGTCCAGGGAAATATGTTATTTGGGAAAAAAAAAAAAGCATTGGGGTGGGAGGCAAGAAAAAGCTGATGCTTGCAATGTACAGTCTGCTCTTTGTCTTCACTCGTGGCTTTCTTTCTCTTCTGTTTCAGGGAACACTTGTGGGATGGACAAAAGGATTCAAGGCAACAGACTGTGAGGGGGAAGATGTTGTTGATATGCTAAGAGAGGCCATCAGGAGAAGAAATGTGAGCTGTTTTTTCTGCTCATGTTGGTGTATTTAATGCACCCTCCCTCTGGCATTCCACTGCTGATCGTGACTTGTGTTTTAGGAGTTTGACTTGGACATTGTAGCAGTGGTGAATGACACTGTTGGGACCATGATGACTTGTGGCTATGAGGATCCAAACTGTGAGATTGGCCTTATTGCAGGTACAGTGGTGGTCAAGTGGCCACTGTGAGGAGGAAGCACCTATGTAAAGCTGGGCTTTGGCATCTCTAAACCAGCACCTTTTATCTGAGTTTTGATATATTAGTATATATATATTGATATATTAGTATATATTGATATATTAGTATATATATATATATATATATATTAGTATATATATATTGATATATTAGTATATATATTGATATATTAGTATATGTATATATATATTGATATATTAGTTACTTGGGGTTCTTGGCAGATTTGTGTGGTACTCAGAAGGAAACTTAACAACATCTGTAGCAGATAAGTTCCTGAACCTGTTGGATTTTTGATCATCTCTCTGATGGTGCCTAACAAGTGTATGCAGGGTAAAAGAGTACAAGCAGATAGAGCAAGAATTCTTGTTTTGACAAATCCATGCATAGTTACTGTGTAGCCAGGTCATAGACCATGGAACAAGCAAATGCTTTTAAAAATCTGAATGAATTCTTGTTGGGCTTTTTAGATGATTCCCCCAATATGTTCCTCCAAGTTTTGATCCAGAAATATATCTAAGCATAGAATCACAGAATGGCCTTGAAATTTGAGATGAGGCAAAGAGAACTTAAGATGAGCACTGCAATCATCTTCCATAAGTTTCTGGCGCTGCTTCACTTTTCCAGCTGAAGTCTTGTCATTTCTTTCCTTCTAGGAACAGGCACCAATGTTTGCTACATGGAGGACATGAAAAACATAGAAATAGTGGAAGGGAATGAAGGAAAAATGTGCATTAATACAGAATGGGGAGCATTTGGTGACAATGGCTGCATTGACCACATCAGGACAAAATATGACAGAGAAGTAGATGAAGGCTCCCTAAACCCAGGGAAACAGAGGTAAACGTGGTGGTCCTGATGCCAAGAGCCTGATGAAGTCAGTCTTCAAGAGACACTGGCTGCTTTTTAAATGTGCTTAATGAATGAATAATCAGAAAGGAAATTTTAATATTGCATTTCTTTTGTTGCTTGGTAAGTAACCTAGATATCAAAAAAAAACAAAAAAAAAAAACCAAAGATGTACATTGTTACCACAGCACTGTTTTCATCTTAAAGCATTACCAAACAGTGCAGCTTTTAAGATTTCCCTACAAAGTCTAGGTCATGCTTTGTTCCTACTTTTAGGGTGATTTTCAGACTCAAGCTTGTTGGGTAAAGACAGCATTGATTAGATGTGACTCACTGGTGGCATGCATGGGGGACAGGCAGGAGTTTCACTTCAGTGTGGACTCTGGCTTTAACACTATATTCTGTTTAATATTGCAAAGTTTTTTTTTCTACTTCTGTTACCCTTTGGCATAGGTAAATATATTGTAATTAATATTTGCACTTGAAGTCTCTGCAACAGATTTTTGATGATTGAAAAATGGAGTTTCATGGCTATTGCTCTGCAAGCTTGGACCGTTTTTTTTTGAGTTCACAGGGCATGTACATACCACTCATGCTAAACAGAGCTATCTCCTTAAATGAACATTTTTATTCCTCTTTTGACCCAACAGGTATGAAAAAATGACCAGTGGAATGTACCTAGGTGAAATAGTGAGGCAAATTTTGATTGACTTAACCAAACAAGGACTGCTGTTCAGAGGACACATTTCGGAATCACTCAGGAAAAGAGGCATATTTGAAACAAAATTCCTGTCTCAGATTGAGAGGTAAAGTTGTTAGATTTACATGGTTTAAATCCTTAAAGTCCTCTGGGACACCTAGAACACAGTCTTTTGAAAGTGTGAGGAGCCCTTTCCTTCAAGAAGTGGATTAAGTCAATTACAGTTTTCTTTGTGCATTCCCCACCTCCAGAATAAATGTTAAAAATAAGAACCTGGGGAAGTTACAGAATTATTGTTGTAATTATATGAATTATCATTTCCTGTCCACACAACTGGGTTATCTTGGATGCCTTAGCCATCAAGCTAAGTGTTTCTTGTGTGACATTTATTTAAGAAAGCAAGAAGTCAGTGATACACGAATATGTGCATACCTATGTATCTGTACGATTACAATGGTCCCTAGGCTATTTGAAACCCTTTCTGCTGTGGAAAGCCTTGAAAGGAGGGTCTCAGGAAAGTAACAGTCCTGTGGCTGATCTGGGTCTGCTCCCCTATGGCTTTGGGGTTAGGTGGATAATTACTGCTCGTGCCTTCTGGAGATGCAGCCTAACATGGCAATGGCATGGCAGGAGCAGCTTTTCCATCTGAATTCAGACAGAAACCAGCCTTGAGAGAACTGGGGGGTGTTAGAGCTGAGGTGGCCCCATTTCCTTTGGCCCAGAGCTGTGTGAGCTGTGGGGCTGTCCCTGAATGCTGCTCTGTGTGTCCCTGCAGTGACCGGCTGGCCCTGCTGCAGGTGCGGCGCATCCTGCAGCAGCTGGGGCTGGACAGCACCTGTGAGGACAGCATCATCGTCAAGGAGGTGTGTGCAGCTGTGTCCACAAGGGCTGCCCGGCTCTGTGGGGCAGGGCTGGCTGCTGTTGTGGAGAAGAAGAGGCAGAACCGAGCTGTGGAGCGCCTGCAGGTCACTGTTGGAGTGGATGGGACGCTCTACAAGCTCCATCCACAGTGAGTGCCTTGGTGCCACTTCCCTCTGCTGTTTGCTTGTTTTCACTGTGAGAACATACCTGTGCCAGCTTTCTGCTGAGATGATTAAAAACTTGAGAGGGGGGAAGGATCTAACACATTTCACTGCATTTTGTCATTTCCCTTTCCTAGCCAGAGGATCAAAAATTGTAAAGTCAGCTCCAGTTACCACTGGGAGGCTCTTTTCTCTGGGATGTTGAATGAACCTAATACTTATTTCCCAGTATTTTGGTAGATTTCTACAATATCTGAGTCTCCCAGATGGAAAGCTGTTTGAGTTTTTGGAGTTGGGTCAGTATTCTGTGAGCAAGGCCTAGAAGCAGTAATGCTTTTGAGTTGGGAGAAGAGAACCCCCTTCATTATCTCTGAAGATGTGGGCAGTGTGTGGCATCATGCTGAACAAAAGTCAAGTGGAGAAATAAAAATTACAGATTTTTATTATCTGTACACAATCAGATTCCATCTTTCATGAATAGGAGAAAAAGCAAAAGAAAGCAATGGCTGAGGTTCCTTGCTTGTTGGTGAATACAAAAAGATCAGAAAGCAACTGCTAAAATGTTCTGTTCTTCTCTCTCTTCCCTTTCAGTTTTTCTAGGATCCTGCAGGAAACAGTGAAGGAGCTGGCCCCTCAGTGTGATGTGACTTTCATGCTTTCTGAAGATGGGAGTGGGAAGGGAGCTGCCCTCATTACTGCAGTTGCAAAAAGATTGCACAATGTTGGACAGAAGTAGAAATGAGAGGTCAAAGTAACCTCAGCCCTGGCAGGCGTGTGCAGCAGGGGTTTGCTGGGGGGGATTCCACACAGCTTTGCCTACACCAGCTCACAGGTGGCTTTTACTGGGGGAGCAGCTGGTTTTGACCAGCCAGGATTGTGGGTTTTTGGTAACTTGGGTCTGGTGTTTCTGCTCCCCACTGGAATCATGCCTTGGCATGGCACGGCCTACTCAGTTCTGTACTTCCTGCAATGCATCTCCAATGTACGTGGGAGAGTGAAAACAAAACAAACAAAATCAACCCAAATTTGTCTTTTTACAATATCTTAATTAAGCTTCTGCACCAGAAATGAGTTTATCACCAGTTTCTTAGGATTTGTGTGCTTAGTTTTGTCTTGTCCTGGCTCAAAGAATATTGAGATTCTGATGTTGCATCTTATCTAGTGGACGTATTTGTTCAATGCTTCACAGATTTTACAATAAATTTGGAGGTGAATTAAATGAATGGACTGTGGTCAGTGATGCTCCCCCTGCTGCTGCACTAGTTGCAAGAGTAATGCAATACTTCCCTGAGGACAGGATGCATGTTTAATTGATGAATGTAAAGGAAAAAAAAAAGTGATTGCACAGAAGATCAATTTGTGACTCAGCTGCACTGACATATTTTGACACATAAAGCTAAACCAATGCTGCATGGATTCTGACTGTGACTGATTCTTTGGATCCTGAAGGAAACAGAGAATGTGGGAGGAGCTACAGAGTCTGCAATGTCTGTGTCAGGGCTACACAGAGGGTTTCAAACAGGCCACCAAAATAGTGTGTAGAGGGAAAAAAAATCACCTACATTTCTGAAAGTCTCCTCTTTGTTTTCCCTCTGTTATCTTCTTGCATGTTCCTGGGAGAATTGTTTCCATTTTGTGCAAAGGAAGTTTGTCCTTGGTTTTCATTTTCTGTTGCCTGCTGCTCTGCCTGTTTGTAAATAAATCTGTGTTGTTGTGAGCCTTTGCTCCTCTGTCCAGTGCATCTTCTGAGTTGTGGGAAGAACATGCAGGCAAGTGGGAGCTTTCTTAAACCTAAATCTTTAAACCTAAACCTTCCTTTAAATCTAAATGTGTATGTGTGCTCAGCAGCACTTCAGTGATTGTGAAGGGGGTTTGTGGACAGAGCTCATGGCCTTGTGTGACCAAATGTCCCTGACCTGATCTACCCAGGAAAAACCAAAACAATAATATTGTTTTGGGACAGAGAAGCTGCAAATCTGTGTCCTGTCTGCTCTCTCTTCTCAAATATTCCTGTATCCCTTTTAACCCTCTCTTTGTGGGTATTTGATTCCTTGTGACAGCAGTTATCCCTCCCTTGCTTCCTTGTGGGCTGACAGCAGAAAGTGGGGCCAAGAAATGTGCTTTAAGCCTAGTTAGGTCAAAAGTAACTGTGGTGCAGGGGGATGAGCAGTTGGGTTTATGTAATGATCTGTAACAAGGCTGCTGCTGGGTTTAAATTTAGCAATCCCAAATTCAAAATTGGAAGCTACACCAGACTTTTGCTGTTTTGTAGTTTTTTTAAAAAACCCAAAATGTGTCAACAGCTCTGTGTCTGTGTTGGAGTTACTGGATGGGTAGAAGATACTTGCAAATAATTTTCACTCCTGAAGGAATTCCTCATAGTGCTGAGCTCACTGTACCAAGTTGTGAACTCCTATTACATTTAATGTTTTTCTCCTTTTGTCAAGAAACTTAGTATTTTACTGTTTCTTTATATTTCAGAATCCTCAGAGCTGCAGAAACCAAAGCTTCCTATGTAGTAAGGGCAGTGATCTGGAGTGGAAGTTTGTTGCTGGTGATGGACAGGTTAAATTTGGAGGGGCTGGGTGTAGAAGAAACAAACAAATCAGATATTGAGTCTATGTGAGGCCTAGAATAGCTTTTCTAGGCTGTTTTAGGCCCCAATGAGAGAAACAGGTATTTTGGCACCTGAAATCCTGTATTATCTGTGTGGTTTTGGGCCTTTTTGGGGGAGTGGATTCTGCAAATCTGCAAAAATGCTCCTGTGAATGAAGTATGTCCCTGTACATCTGGAATGAGGTGATGCAGACTTGCCCAGGGATGGCCATGTGAGTATGGTGCAGAACACATTTTGAATTTTTATTCTAAAGCCTGTTCTGCACAACTGAAATGCAAATCTGTAACAAAACAAGGTAAACCTCTCACATTTAGAAAGAAATCCTGTCTTGCTTTGATTTTTTTTAGTCTTTTTGGGAAATTAAATATTCACACAGTTTCAGCTTACACCTCAGCTGCAGTTATTCCTTTTCCTGCAGTAGATTAGGCCCACACAATAATATTTTTTTTTGCATGTGCAGTTTTTTTTTTCTCCCAGTGAGTCTGTGGGTGTCATGGAATCCAACCACAAGGACCTGAAACTGCTCCCCAAGTGCTCAGCAGCTCTTGCTGAGCTCCCTGAGGCCCAGCCTTGGTGCTCCTGCCTTTGCTGCAGGCAGCTTTGGGGCTGCACATCTGGCCCCATGCACATCTGGGCAGGGAGATGGCAGCTGGGCTGGGAGGGTGGCAAAGAGCAAAGCTTGGCTGGGCAGCCCTGGAGAAGGGCAGGATTGGCCACTGTGGGGTCTTAGCAGGAATACAACCTTCACTTGTGTCTTGGTTTGAACAGCCAGGTGTCTGCTAAGGAAGGCAGGAGCCTCCCTTGAAATGGAAAATGCAAACCCCCTCCCTCTGAATTGCTATAATTTTGAAATTAAGGGGCTCTCAGGCAAAGATATGGGAGTAGGAATAACAGTTCTTTATTAGGAAAATGAAAAATACAAATGTAATAGCACAAACAACAACAAAACAGCACTGGCAGAGTCATCATAGGCCCTGTCCCCCTGTGTGTCAGGGGGTGGCACAGCCCCACCCCATGGGGGCTCAGCCCTCCTGCAGTGCCAGCTGTGGCTCTGCTGGAGCAGGGATCCTGCACAAGGGGGGAGTTTTCCTCTGCAGCTCCAGGGCTGCTGCAGATGGGCCTGGGCTCCTCTGGCAATGCAGGGCAGCAGAAGCTGCTCCTCTGGCAATGCACTGGGCAAAGGCTGCTGGGGTGTCCCAAACCTCAGATTGGATCCAGGTAGGAATGCTTGGCTCCTCCCCTGGGCAATGCAGCATCTCCCCATGGGATGCTGGGATTGGATCAGCCATGCAGGAACACTCATTGGCCATGGACAGGAGATAATTAATAATTAATAGCTCATTAACAGCAGAGATCTCCTGGAGGGAGGATTGGCTGTGGGAGAGATAAAGCAAACTGCCCCATGACCAGCAGAGAACTGCCCCAGCTCTGACAGATGGGGATAGAACCCACACCCCAGCCACACCTTCCAGCCTAAGGCCACTCCTGGCTCACAGACATCCCATAACCACACAGGGCTTTGGCTTTCTCCAACCCAGAACATTCTCCATCTGGGTGAGGATGCAGCAGCAAGTTCCTGGTTATGCCAGCACATGGAAGCTCAGCCACTGGGCAAATGTGCAGTCTCCCTTGTACAGATATTAAACTGCTGCAGCACAACACTTCTCTGCCATCTGTCCCATCATGGGGGGTGATTCAGCTTAAAGCTCTGGCTCACAATAAAAGTAGAGGCCTTTTATTAAATGTAGCACATTTAATAGAACAGGATGTGCTGCAGTTCATCTCATGACATGGTTAGCCAATATAAAATAAAATGGCATCTTAGATTTTTGTTTTTCTACTTTCACTTTTCTACTGCTTCCTGGATAGCTGTGTGATGCTTTATTTCCACCTGCCTTCCCCCTAGATAATACATTTGGTGCTTGAATTTATCAATTTTGTTGTGATGCTTCTTGAAGACGTGAGCATCTTTTTTCACATCTAGGTGATACATGTAATTTGGAAAGTTGAAAGACCTTTAAATCACAGCTATGATGTGGTATAATGACAGAAGTATTACTGAGAGAAGGAAATTAGGTTTGTGCCTTTCAGAAATTCCCAGTAGATGGTTGTAGTTACCTTTTCATCCATGGGGAAAAAATAATCCTAAATATGTTGTTTTGCCAGATAGAGACACATTTTGGTGGCTGCAGGTTTGGACAGCCCTTGACTCATAATCCATAACAGAAAATGCAGTAGCAGCTCAGTGGTGACATATTCCCTTTGTCACTCTGACAAAGTTCAAAAGTAAATATAGGATCGTGTGGAAATCCTTCAGAAATCCTGATTAGCATGATCTCCCTTCTTGAGAAGTCAATATTATATGGGATTAGCAGATTAGTGTAAAGGAGTTTGAGGCTGACATGTAGGTAATACTAAAATGAAAGTATTGTTCCTTCCATCTTCCTTGATTTGGTTCTTTGTGCTTGGTGAAATGATCTGGCCTGGGTTTGAGGTCACCACAGGAATTAGGTGGAGGGAGAGGAGGAGATTTGGTGAATATTGTCCTGTTCTAGGTAAACTTGCAGGTTCTCTAGAAAGGGCCACCACTGCCTTGAACTGTCACTGCAGGCTTATCCAGAGCATCCTCAGACTTGTAAAGTCAGTAGCTTCTCAAGTGATAAATACAGATAGAGATATAAAATAATAATATATAATGTATATAATAATATAACAAATAATAACATGTAGGTATAAAATAATAATATAATAATATTTTATAATATAATAAAATTATAAAATAAAAGAATATAATATATTCCTGCACACAGGTGGCCTGTTGAGATGAGAGGAGGAAGGGAAATGAGGCAGATACCTTCTTTGTCCTAGCAGTGAATCCACTCTGTAAACTGATGTGGAAAGCAAGATATAAAACCACCAAAATTTTAATTAATGTTTTCCTTTCTCTCATTGATACTATCACCTTGCAGGTGCACACTGAAGGTGCTGTAAACGTGATGGGTCATGTCTGTCTGCGAGGGGAATGCCAAAATAATTTGGATCTTGTTGTGTGCTTTTTTAACACCCTCCAAATGCCAGTCCCATCCCTGCCCAGCATTACACTTCATCTGTGTCTGGGGGCCTCACACAGCCCAGGCACCTCTGGAGTCAGGAAAAGCTGAGTTCTGTGAAGAGAGAACAGATCTGGGTTCCTCCAGAAAGCTCTTCCCACTGGCCCAAGGAATTGGGGCTACAGGAAAATGGACCAAGGGCTCCAGGTGGGAGGATTCCTGTGCAGGAGATGAAGAAGCAAATGTTGGGGGATCTTGGCAAGGAGGAACTTGTTGGGAGGAGTGGAAGGAGGTCCTTTCAGTCTTGATCTTTCCTGACTTAAAAATCTGAAACCTAAAACAACTCAACCTTCCCAAAACAACCCAAATTCTGACTTTTATCTAGAAAAGTATAAGTTAAAACCAGACAAAAAACAAACAAAAAAAACCCCTAAAAAACCAACAGAAACAAAAAGAGATAGGGGGAGACTGAGTCTGTTTCACTGCCACTATATTTTTTATAGGGTTTTTAAAAATTTTTTTAAATTTTCTTCTTTTGCTGGAAAGGAGAAAGGCTGTTTGGAGAAGAGGGGAGAGATGTGTAAAGAGTATGGCACATCAACAGTGAAAGATTCCCCATAAATTCGTTACTGCATATCAGAAAAAGTTTAAAGTAAGTCTTAATACTGGAGAAAAGGGATGACAGCAGGGCAAGGTGTGAAACGTTAAGAGCTATTAATTACAAGGACAATTCAAGGGCATTAATTAGTGGTTAATGTGTTTATTGTTAATGGGGGGAGGCAGTAGGGTTGTTCCATTTTATTTGGACTTGGAGGTGAGATGTAGCTCCCAGCCTCAGGCATTTCAGAACAGGGTTCTCTTCTCAAACCCACCGGTGTTATTGGTTCACTTTGCTTTTCTGAGGGCTGTTTTTGTTATTTTCAATTCGCTGCTTGGATGTTCAGCTCTCTGTGCAGCCGGGAAGCCCCGTTCCCATAGGGCTGCCTTGGCCAGGGATGCTGGGCCATCTGTTCAGTGTGGCACTGGCACTGCTGCCTGCCAGGCCCTTGG